AACATGTGTGTTCAGAAACCACGCACAACTCCCATTTTCATACCTAGATATTTTGCAGATAATCTCCACATACCATGGAAATCCTCCTGTAACCACTCTGAAACACCATCAGGTACATTTTTAGTGGATTTGACCTACCAGTATTTCAGGGTTTAAATCTCTCTGAATGTAGTTAAAAGCTGGAGAAAGTTATCTATAGAGATATCTATCTAAGGAGTAGCCCTTAGAGAAAAATAAAGCCAGGTTGCATTTCTCTGCTTTATTTTTGCAGGCTCAGGAGAAATTATTCTATGAGTGTGATGTTTTCTAGTAGGAGCTTTATTTTCCTCCCTAGATAACTTTTGTTTCATTCCAGGGGTAAACCAAGAAGACAAACATTTTTTATAACAGACCACAGAGAAAAGTGACCTGCTACAAAACAAGCAAACTAAAATTCATGTCCTGGGACGAAGGTATACTTTACCTCATTAAGTCATTCTAGGAGCCTGAAGGAACCATCCCCTCAGCTACAACTACCGTGAGGGGTTGGCTGCTATGGGTGCATCACTGGACAGTGGTTGACAGGTCAGCCCCAGAGGACTTCTGGGCACTCCTTCAGCATCAGTGAGTGGAGTGTACCCAAGGACAACCAGACTGGAAAAGACAGATGACAATTTTTAGTTTTTCTCTCTGCAACCTAAGACTTGGGGTCTAAAGCCACCCCCAGTCAATTTCTAGAGTATTGTCAGCTGACAGTGGTTCAAATCCCTCTTAAACTGGGGCTGGCATTTGTGGCCACAGTGAGCAGCCCAAGAACTTGAGAATGAGGGGAATGGAATTACCCTCTAATGTTTTTTTTTCTGTTTGTTTTTTGGGGGGTTTTGTTTGTTTGTTTGTTCGGACGCTCGGATTGCGGGATCTTAGTTCCCCGACCAGGGATCGAACCCGGCCCCGGCAGTGAAAGTGCCGAGTCCTAACTACTGGACCGCCAGGGAATTCCCATTTTATCTTATTTTATTTTATTTTTTTGATGGCTTAGCTAAGAAACCAGCACACAGTGGATCACAGCCAACAAGTACGAGTCACCTTACTCCAGGGCCTGGCCCTGAGTCTAAAGACCGAACACGTGGACCAGAGGAGGCCGGGGAAGGAGGCGCTCTGTGGGCAAGGTCCCACTGCCCACCACCCAGCCAGGCACTGTCCCAGGGGTGTGGCAGTGGTCAAGGGCAGAGAGGAAAGTGTTTGTTGGGAGGCTGGTCCTGGCCTTGGATCAGAACACACATAGACCTCCGTCCCAGCGTGGCCATTTTCAGGCTGTGTAACCTCACACGAGGACTGGACATCCCCGTGCCTCAGCTTCCTCATCCGTGAAATGGGTACCGTGTCCACCTCACCAGGTTACTGCAGGGATCACGTAGAGCCCTTGATACAGAGCCCGACTCACAGCGGGCACCCCATAAATGTCAGCAAGCAAAAGTACTGTGAAACGCAATATCCAGCAGGCTAATTTTAATCCTAAGCGGTGAGTTTGCTTCCCGTGAGTCGGTGAGGAAAGGCGTCACCCTCCTGAGCTGACAAGATGCGTCTGCTGGACTTGACCGTGTTTCCCCCGCGTTCTTTCCTGACCCCCGCGCCCTCCGCGCTACTCACACCCACCTGGCGCAGCCCTTCCCTGACTTGAAGCTTCCACCCCTGAGAGCATTACTACATCTGTAAACAAGCTCCAGATGTCTGGTTCTGGAAGACCTGTCTGACCGACTGATGTGTTCTAGAGATTTCACAACTCATTTTTTTCTACTTACAAGAAAGTCCTTCCAAAACAAATAGTCAAAAAGCCGAGTATCTCAGGCACCAGTGAAAAGAAGGCTTTTGCAAGGATCATGAGTCTACTTCCAAACATCTGGAAATATGTTGTATTAGGATTAAAAGGCTTAAAACATGAGAAGACAATCAGCCATTTGGCTAATCGGGGTTCTGTTTACACTTCAGTGAGGAGCTAGAGCCATTTACAGGCTAAAGGACAACCCTGTATCTTGATCAAAATTGTCGGTAGGCAATCAGTTGTTGACCGACTTTAGACTCCTATGTAACGCAAGGGTGTGAAATTCAAACATCAATGACTGGTTTTAACGGCTTTTAAGAATGCACAATGGGCTTCTCTGGTGGTGCAGTGGTCGAGAGTCCGCCTGCCGATGCAGGGGACACGGGTTTGTGCCCCGGTCCGAGAGGATCCCACATGCCGCGGAGCGGCTAGGCCCGTGAGTCACGGCCGCTGAGCCTGCGCGTCCGGAGCCTGTGCTCCGCAACGGAAGAGGCAACAGTGAGAGGCCCGCGTACCGCAAAAAAAAAAAAAGAATGTACAACATTTTGCCCAAAATTAATTGTCTTGGATAAAAACATTATAAACAATATACTGATTAATTGACCAACGGGTTTGGAGGCGTTTTGTTTGTTTTTCTTCTGTCTGGTGGACAAATACTTTATGCCCACCTTCTTTTGTGTGTGTGTGTTTGTGTGTGTGTGTGTGGTTTTTTTGTTTTGCTGTGTTTTGTTTTTGCTTTAATCCAATAACTTTATTCCTTGGCATGTATTATAAGAAAATACTCCATTATCAAATGCTTTACATACAGAGACGTTTGTCATAAAGTTATTTGTAAGTGTAATGATGTATGCCCACCTTCTGACCTCAACAGTACCCTAAACAGCACACGTAGCCAGCGGCGCTCTGGGACAGCAATGCTGTATCAAGGAGCTTGTCTTTTATCACCACCTAGTGGTCATTCTCTATTATTACAACTCACTAGGGTCGCCTTACCCTCACCACCCTTGCACAGGTTTGACACTTACATTGTTTTTTAAAGAAAACTTTTCTAAATATTCCTCAAGGAACCTTGCAGGCAAAACATTCCACTCCCTTTCTACACCTCTCACATTTTAATCTAGAAAAGTCGATGACAACGATAAACCCTCCTTATTGCATACCTTGTATCCTTGTAACAAAGGAAGATTACAGCCCAAAGAAATGCAAGGAAACCCCAAAGAGGAAAAGTGGAGAAGGAAGTATTTACTGTTCAGTGGTTAAAAAATGCACTCAAATTTTTGTGTACTTGCTTTTCAAGTTAAAGAATAAAAAAGAAACAGTTACTTTGAATGTTCAGGCCCTCTGTAGACTAATCAACTCTGAAACTCTATTAGCTTCAGATCATCATAGAATTGCTCCATGTCTCTGGTCTTTTCTCTTTTTTTGCAGACGGATTTTGCTTATTCACTTGGGTTTTTCTTTTGAGTTATTCTTTTTTGCATATTTATAATGCTGCTTAGTTTCTAGAAACTTCCTATATTGATAAAGCAAGTGGATTTTTTAAACTATATTTTGATATCACACAGCCCCTATTTGTCACTGTGCCACTGGAGGTTATAGGTGAAACCAAATCTGAAAGAGAACTGATACTAGCTACATGGTATTATTGACCTAAGTGATTTTTGCATTTTAATAGTATTTAATAGAAAATGAAATGTGAGTGACTAAAGAATATTTATGAGAATACTAATTTCCTAACTACAGGAAGACAACGTAAGAAAAAATTAAGTCAATTTAAATAAGCAGTCTACTCTGCTTATTATTAGCACAAATATTTACCTTCATTTAAAAATATGAGAAATAGGAGGGAAATTGGCACCTAGCTAAATAAATCTATCTCTATCCTACTCTACCACAAGAGCTAAAAGTCAGCCCAAGCAACAGCAAAAACTTAAAGCCTATTTGGGTATGGAGGTGCTATAAAATTGTGACGCTTTTTAGACGGGACATAATTTAATGCAACGAAGTATAAAATAGGAACTAAGTTTTAATTATATGAATTTCCATCCCACTGCAGTCTCTCACCCTTTTTTTTTTTTTTCAGTACGCGGGCCTCTCACTGCCGTGGCCTCTCCCGTTGCGGAGCACAGGCTCCGGACGCGCAAGCTCAGCGGCCATGGCTCACGGGCCCAGCCGCTCCGAGGCATGTGGGATCTTCCCGAACCGGGGCACGAACCCGTGTCCCCTGCATCGGCAGGCGGACTCTCAACCACTGCGCCACCAGGGAAGCCCCTCTCACCTTATTTTTAACTAGGGAGAAATGTCTTCAAAGTAGTCTACTTCAACAATTTGGAATAAAAACATCTTCATTCTCCTCAAAATGCCTCTTTTTGTTACTAAGGTAACAAGAAAAGAGCTGTTTGCCAGAGATCCTGTGAGCCACACGACTTCTGCCACCAGAGACTACATTCCCCAAAGACACCAACAGGCTTAGCTGCAAAATCAATAGGCAGATTCAGAAGGAGGAAAAGCTCATGGCCACTCCAATCCGATGGCCATCATTGTCCTTAATTAGGAAAACAGCAGGGGAAGGGCCCTTCTGAGAGTACAGAAGCAACGTTGGCTGCAAGAAAAAGACACGGAGAGCAGCACATACACGGGTAGGGGAGAGATGTCAGCAACTTCTTACCATAAAGAAAAACATAGCTATCAGACACTGAGATGGGACAGGTGAGCAGAGAATCGCTTCAAACCTACCTGGTGAACAAGTCATGGGGCCGGACCAGCTCTTGCTGAACAGACAATCAAGAGGCAAAATTACAGTCACGGGCTTTGCACGTAGCAGCCATGACTGCAAATCAATCAACGCCAACGCGAGAGAAGCAGAAGCAGCCACTTCCTCCAGCATAGAAACGAGCAAAGGGCACTGGGTGGAGAATTTATTTGTCTGCATCCTGACCCCTACACATGTGGATGGCAGTGACATTTAAACAAGGCTTCGGAGACAGTGTATGCAGCGGTGTGTAATATAAATACGACATAACAAGACATGACATTTGAAAACATGGACCGAATAATCAGTGCAACAAAAAGGATCCATCCCAATGGAGACAGAAAAGTTCTGCTGAGCATTCAGGCTCTGCAAGAGACAGATTGAGTTCAGGTTATACACAGAGAGACTAGAAATGAAGAAATCTCCTCCTTGGGACAAGATATTTGCTATTCATCTTTATTAGTATGATTGTTCTCTATAAATCTCTTCATTTTCAAAGCTAGTTCTGAGAAAAGTAGCATAAGGCACATACAAAGAAATACTTTTGTCATATCACAAAGAGAAGTTCTATATTTTGAAATTTTTTCAGGGTATTAGAAGGTCTATTCATGCAGAGCAAAAAATTAAGCAAAGGCCACAAATGTCAGGCCCATGAAGATATGCATGTGCTATCTTCACATTTGATTTCATGTTGATATGATTAAGCAGGTATATGCATGGAGATCTAACCGTGTCAGATCATACAATTCCTCGGTGAACCCTGGATGTACTGACAGACGTGTGCTAGCTTCGAGCCAAAGCATTTTGTTGAATTTGGTTTGTGGGAAGAGAGTTGAAATGGTGCTTCGTGGCTTGGGTTTCCTAAAAGAAAGGGAAAATATTAGGAAGAAGACTGTTAACGAGAGACAGAGAATGTTTATCAAAAACTGAACTCTTCAACATGCAATCAAGGGAAGTATTGCTTTTTATTCTAGAAACCACTACTCATCAAGTGCAAAGAAAGGAAATTAATTTTTTCTCATGGAAAACCAAATGATGTTTATATCCTTTCTCTGTCCTAAACTATCAAACATAGAAGGAAGTTGATATCTTCCACAGACGTAGAGAACAAACTTATGGTTACCAAGGAGAGAAGGAGGGGCTGGGACTAATTGGGAGACTGGAATTGACATATATACACTACTGTGTATAAAATAGTTAACTAATGAGAACCTACGGTATAGCACAGGGAACCCTACTCAATGATCTGTGGTGACCTAAATGGGAAGGAAATCCAAGAAAGAGTGGATATATGTATACGCATAGCTGATTCACTTTGCTGTACAGCAGAAACTAACACAACATTGTAAAGCAACTATACACCAATAAAAATTGATAAAAAATTAAAAATTTTTTAAATGCAAAAGGAATTGAGAATGATTAACAGGGAAGTGTTAAGTAAATACTAAGCAGATATTATCGTAAAAGGGATGCAGACATTGTCTCCTAATACTGGTAGGGATGTCTGTGGGCCATTTCTCTTATAATTTTGAAATTAAATAGTCATAAAATACCATTGCTTAAGGCAGGAAAATGTAAGAATGTAAAAATAAAGACATAAGAGCCTTTGGAAATAAATTGGATTTCAACATTAAAAAAAAAAGAAGGAAGTTGACACCTTCAATTATAGTTTCCCCACCGCATTTTCATGGAAAATGGAGAGGCTGAATTTACAGCTTAGTCCTGGGGGAGGAAATTGAAACGGTCCACAGCTAGACTGGAGGACAGTACCAAGCAGCAGCCTGTTAGGAGACAGAACTCAGTCTCAGACTAGACACTGTCTCTCCCGGGGCATCAATTTAGCATCAATTTCAAACACAGGAAATGAGAAATGTTTCATAGTTCCATTCATTGCCACAGTCCTAGAACCACCTTTTCAAGTAAAATGCCTGGCAGATCCATGAGCTACGAGATGGGTTTGTCTTTAGACAATGAATGGTCTGCCCAGTGAAATGCCTGATTGCACGGCCATGTTGCATTTTCATGAAGGACATTGGATCTCTCTGGGGGTCGGGAGTGGGTTTTAGGAAGCTGTCTGATTCCCTCCTTCAGTGTCAGGCATTTTGACCTCATGACAAAGATAGTAATTCCAAACCAGAAGCCATCAGAGAAACAGTCAAAATGGGCTGGCCACAGCGATATATGCCTTTCTTTTCCCCAAAATCAGCCTATCAAGCCATCTGGCTATGTGAAGGATTCCCTCTCAGCTGTGTCATTTCACATTCAACATTTTTTTATAATTACATTAAAATTGAATAATTTTAAAAGAACTTTACAAACGGAGTGAATGGAAATGAATTTAAACAGTATTTATGAGTCTTTTACTGTTGGGGGAGTTGGTATAATGATAAATATTGGCATATTTTCCTTTCCCATCATTCTTCAGATAAAATTTCTAAAAGTAAAACTCGCCAGTTTTCTTTTTTTCCAAAACTGAGCCCCTATTCATTCCTTAGAAATGGGATTAGGGGCACTAATCAGACTGACAACAGACTGCTCAATAGTAATTTTTTATTTTCTTTTATTTAGAAGAAAATAAAAAAGAAAGGAAATGGGATCACTTCCAAAAAGACAATCATTGGCCCTAAAATAGATGTCTATGTGTCCACAACATGAAAGAAACCACCTGGGAAAACATCAAATGATGGGCTGGATTTGCTTTGTAATTTGAATAAAGGAGTGATGAAACTTTCGTTGTCCGGTAGGCTACTCCCACCAGCTCCAAGATTTCCTAAAAATATATTCATTTTTTAATAGTAGTATTTTATGTATAAGTGTAAGTAAATTAAGAGGGGAGATTCTAATATTCAAATCGGTCTTCGGTACATAGAGCAGAGCTGTTTGTTAGCCGATATTTACAAGCACTGGGGATTTCTTTTTCTTTATCCAGCGGAAGCCTTTTGTCCGCCCTTCACTAGGCAGGCTCCAAGTGTGACCGCAGACCTTAACTGAAGACCTACTGTGTGTCCAGCGCTCACTCCGTCATCCTCCTCTTCTTCCTGCTCCCCTGATATCAACAGCACCCAAATCTATCTTACATGTTTCAGCGGAGGCATAATATGGACAGAAAGGAGACTAAATTTTTTTTGATTTAAATTAACAAGAACACTTATGGCACCAGAGCAAACTGTAAGCCTCACTGCCCTAGAGAATAAACAGCTGCCTTGGTTGCAAGGTCAAATAAAAAAGGTCAATAAAAAATAAAATAAATAAATAAAATTAAATTAAAATATAAAACAAAAAAGGTCAATAAAAACATAATATTTACATGGGTATTTGCTAACTGTCTGTTAAACCAGATATTTTTATAGCTCTTAATGATCTTTTGATGTTTTCATACCTACCGTCTTATCTGTATGGCCCACAATATTTGAGCATTTCCCCGTGATCTCAATATCCACTATCATTATCTTATTAATATATTTATGTGGCACTCACCAGACTATTAAGAAGTACATAATTCTTTTTTAATGGTCAGTATAAGTTTAAAATTACAAGGCAGCACTATGGAGAATGGAGGTTCCTTAAAAAACTAAAAATAGAACTACCATACGACCCAGCAATCCCACTCCTGGGCATATACCCTGAGAAAACCATAATTCAAAAAGAGTCATGTACCAAAATGTTCATTGCAGCTCTATTTACAATAACCAGGATATGGAAGCAACCTAAGTGTCCATCGACTGATAAATGGATAAAGAAGATGTGGCACATATATACAATGGAATATTACTCAGCAATAAAAGAAACGAAATTGAGTTATTTGTAATGAGGTGGATGGACCTAGAGTCTGTCATACAGAGTGAAGTCAGAAAGAGAAAAACAAATACCGTATGCTAACACATATATATGGAATCTAAAAAAAAAAAAAAAATTGGTCTGAAGAACGTGGGGGCAGGACAGGAACAAAGACGCAGACACAGAGAATGGACTTGAGGACACGGGGAAGGGGAAGGGTAAGCTGGGACGAAGTGAGAGAGTGGCATGGACATATATATGCTACCAAATGTAAAATAGACAGGTAGTGGGAAGCAGCCGCATAGCACAGGGAGATCAGCTCGGTTCTTTATGACCACCTGGAGGGGTGGCACAGGGAGGGTGGGAGGGAGATGCAAGAGGGAGGAGATATGAGGATATATGTATATGCATAGCTGATTCACTTTATTATAAAGCAGAAACTAACACACCATTGTAAAGCAATTATATTCCAGTAAAGATGTTAAAAAAAAAAAAATTACAAGGCAGCAAGTGTACTTGTCAAAGTTACCTCAAGTGACTTCACCATATTCCAAAGTGTTTCCACATGAGTGTTTGGGCTAATATTGAATAAATGAATATTTTGATATAAATCAATGAATATAATTGAATAAATGTAATATCAAGCACTTATCGTTGAATCTCTAGTAGCAATAATGTTTTCATCAGAAGCCAGCTCTGTGGTATTTTTAGGTTGTAATTTATTGCCATTGTTATGAACATCGATTGTAAACTCTCCTATGGATATGTAAGTGTGTTGGTCAGTAAAGGAGTCCATGTGATAGAACGCTGATAACAGAACACATCCTGTGCTTTCACTTAAATAAAGAGGAAGAGAAGGGAGCAAGTACAAACTCTTCCTCACCTCAAAGTTATGCTTTTTCCTAGAAATCATACCAACCACAGGCCTTCCTCGCCCTAGCGCCCAAGAACCGGGTCCGGTAGAGTTCACCAGCCCTGTGGCTCCAGGAGGGGGCAGCCCAGGGCCTCGGGAAGACAGACAAATAGATCGAATTGAAATCCACTTCTATCACCAAGTGAAATGTGCTCTACATGGCAGACTGTAATAAACAAACCTTCAACCCCAGAGCGATGTGGCTACCTGGACAAGTGGAAGAATAAAGCATGAAAAGGCCTAAGAATCTTCTTCCTCTTCTCCTTCTTCCTCTTCTCCTTCTTCTTCTTCTCCTGGCCCCTCCTCTTCTCCTTTCTCAGCTTCCTCTTCCTCCGCTTCCCCTTCAGCTCCCTCCGCAGTTATTTCTTCCGTCTTATTCTAACAAAAATTACATTATTATTGAAAAGTGTAAGGGTCAACAGATACAGTGAGGAAAAGAGTGCAAAACATCAGACTAGAGTTGAGGGCCTCCTACACACCCCACCCAACACACACACACACACACACACACACACACACACACGCAAAGACATCATCTTTGTCTTTGTCATCTAATCACAGACCCCACAGGCTGGGATGGTTTTGCACGGCAAAGCATTCATTCTAACAGGTTTCATGACTCCCCTTAAGCATATAGTCTTTACTCATATTAACAGACTGCTCTCATCTTGTTGCCTTTAAAAATTCAGAAGGCAGTTGGAAGAATAAAATACAAAACAATCTCAGCAAATAGAATTTTGTCAGAAAAGATGAAGGTTTTAAATGTATAAGCTGGTTATATTTGTTATAGCAAGCTAATTTCTTGAAGCCAAAGTTATCAGTAACCTACATATATAATCTGAAACTACTTTCAAATTAATAATACGTTTGTCTTATTTTTATACATAAAAATGGGATTTTAAATAATGGAAACTTGTCTAGTAAGAGAGAAACTAAAGAAATTATTATTGGAAAGATATATAGATAATGAAAAGTCACTGTATGGAATAGGCTAAAAATAACTTTTAGGTCTAAGAATAGGGATTAGTTTGATAAAATAATATTAAAAATAATGAAGCAGATCTACATTTACCATCCCCCAAAAAATACATAAATTACATGAACAAAAGTAGATTACAGAACATATTCATCAAAGTTTGATAAATATGTGTATGCGTATGTAGCTAGTGGTTGTCTGGGTAACGGGGTTATAAGATATTTTTATTTTCTGTTTTTATCTGTATTTTCTAAATTTTCTATAAAGATTATGAATTTTTTGTAATTTCAAAAATCAACAGAAGTTTTGGGAAGGAGTTTCTTTTGACATTTGGGACCTTCTTTAATGTTGATGACCTTCCACTGAAATACCTAGACAATACATGTGACCTTTGGTAAATATTCTCTCTGTCCTTGAGTTTTCATTTTTAATTTAGCCCTCTGATTAGCATTTTTAAATGATTAACCCCAAAATGTTCAAAAACAATATTCTTAAAAGTCTTGATTACAATAAAGGTCACTGAGATTTAGCTAACATGAGAGGATGGAATAGAAGTAGAGAGAATCCGAGAATGTCACTTTGGACCTGCCCCCAGAAACCACTAACATCCTCGGAAAGGATTCACCCTCACATTCACATGATGCCATCCTTGTTAGGGGTTAAAGTGAAAACTCCCCAACACCCAGCTAAAAAAGTGCAGATTCCACAGGCAAGTGGCAGGGTGAGAATCTCAGTCCTGCTTCACTGTGACACATAGTACCTCTTCCCCATTGTCAGCAAAAGGGGAAACAGCATGCTGACCTTGCCATGCTCAATTAATGAAAATTATCATAAAGTTCCTCACCATGGAGTCCTCCCCCAGTGCCTGTGAGGAAGCAAAACAAAATTTCTCAAACAAAAAAGAGACCATTCTTTGAAGCTTTCACAATAAAACCAGTAGAATTTGAGTGTTTCAACAAGCAGGGAAAGAATGGGAAAGGAGAGGATTCATTTGTGAAAACTTAGATTGAGTTAAAGACTGTCCTCGGTCTTGGCAGCCTGCTCTTTCTCCTTGCTCATTTTCTATTACTCGTTTCCATCACCAAAAGAAACTTAAAAGCTCTTTTTCTTCCAACCAACTGCAAGTTCCTAATGTAAAATAAATATGACTGTGTCGGAGACTAGACGGACTTTTTATCGTGAGCATCAGAACAGTAGGAGTTCTTGTCTCGGCCTCTACTTGGCAACACATGGGTCACCTAGAACCTATGTTCTAATCCAGTGGTTCTCAGCCTTGATGGAGCATCAGAATCGCCTGAAGGGCTTCTCAAAGCAATCTGCTGCCGGGCTCCACCTCAGGATTTTCTGATTCAGTAGTTGGGGGCCAACCCTGAAAATGTGTATTTGTAGAGGTTCCCAGGTGAGGCTGCGGCTGCTCTGGGAACCCCACTTTGAGAACCTCTGCTGTAGTCTGTATTCTTTCTCTTAAATCACACTGGTTGATTAAGGCACTGTGAGCCCTGGCAACTAGCAGGTTTGGCATCACCACCCACCAAAGTCTTCACTTACTTTGGGTGGGTTATGTTTGTTCCCATGCTGGTGTATCCAAGTTAGTCTTATTGTAATTACACAATTTAAATAAGTATCATGGAAGTCAATGAAATATGAGCATGAAAAGAACTTTTTTCCCTGGGGCTTCCCTGGTGGCACAGTGGTTGACAGTCCGCCTGCCGATGCAGGGGACACGGGTTCGTGCCCCGGTCCGGGAAGATCCCACATGCCACGGAGCGGCTGGGCCCGTGAGCCATGGCCACTGAGCCTGCGCGTCTGGAGCCTGTGCTCCGCAACGGGAGAGGCCACAGCAGTGAGAGGCCCGCATGCCGCAAAAAAAAAAAAAAGAAAAAGAAAAGAACTTTTTTCCCTATGTAAAATTAATGGAGTACTCTGAAAAGACCCATATATGTAAGTCACCTTAAAAACTTGTCATCAAATGAAGTGTCATAAAGCTCGGGTGGCAGGGGGGAATCTGAAATCCAAAGAGATTTATGCATTTAGAGTACTTTGCAAGTGCCTTTAAATTTCTGCTCTACTTTCAAAGAAATCAAAACTGGAATTTCTAGACAGACCAATGAGTATGTTCGTTAGAAAGACAATGGGTAGTTCTAATCATGGGACTATTATTTAAAGAAAAGACCTTTGTTCTACATCCAAAAAATTGGCAGTAAATATACATTTACATATTTCAAGTTAAAATAAATGTTTAAGGCCTCTACATTTTTATGATTTACGACTTTAATTGAATTATTCGACTGGTCAACTAGCCTCCAGTTCCAAACATGGGATATGAGGTCTTCCTGGGAATGCTCGTTATTATTTAAGCATAGACCCTATAAACAAACGTGTCAGCCAGCCGCAACATAGTTTAAATTGCATGTTACAGAGGATAAATTGTATCCCTTTAAATTTTATCCTTAATAACACTAATACTGTTTTCTAATTTTTCTTTTAATGTTTTAAATGTACTTTTAAATCTTATATCCTCAGTACTCAATTTTTTAATACTTCTTATTTTGTGCAATTCTTAATCTTTTATCTTTGTGAAACTTGATTCCCTTATATTTCAGTTCCTCTTATTCTACCTTTATTCATTAAGACATGTCTTTCTTAAATTCTTTATCTTAAACTGTATATGTTTCTTTTACATTCCTAATTTTAATTCTTTTTATAATCTTTTTCTTTCTTGTTGTTGCTGTTTCCTCTCACAGGCATAGGAAGGACAGCAAAGAGGAAGGCTCTGTCCCAAACAGGTGGAGGCTCTTATTATCTCTCTGTTTGTCTCCATGCACTCTGTCATCCCCTTCGATCCTGGCTCCCCACAATGAAGATTCTCCACCTCAGCTCTACAGGCAAGCTGAAGGCATGCTCAGCCCTGGAGGGTCTTATCCATTGGCTGACAGAGGCAGGCTTCTGAAGGTTCAAACACACCACGGGTGATTCTAACACACACCACCAGATGAGAACCACTGTTCTACTATAACCTCAAGTCGGGGAGGCAGGTTAAAAGTTCTTCTCAAGGCTCTGCCATCGCCGCCGCTGCTGCCGCCGCAATGCTGTCCCGGTCCCGCTGCCTGTCCCGGGCGTTCAGCGGCTCGCTCTCCGCCTTCCAGAAGGGGAACTGCCCTCTAGGGAGACGTTCCCTGCCTGGGATCTCCTTATGTCAGGGACCAGGTTACTCTGACAGCAGGAAGATTGTCATTTACAGCAGTAGTGTCTTCAGTGTTCGCTTTTTCAGAGCTACAGCTGTGTGCGAGGACGATGTACTTGCAGGATCTGTCACAGAAGGGGATGTCAGGTGGGAGAAAGCTTCACCTTGCAGAAGGTGAAGTGGTTTGTGAGATTGAAACTGACAAGACATCTGTGCAGGTTCCATCACCAGCAAATGGCACGATTGAAGCTCTTTTGGTACCTGATGGGGGAAAAGTAGAAGGAGGCACTCCTCTTTTCACACTCAGGAAAACTGGCACTGCTCCTGCTAAGGCCAAGCCAGCCGAAGCTCCTGCTGCCACAGCCCGAAAAGCAGAACCTGCGGCATCGGCAGTTCCTCCTCCCCCTGCAGCATCCGTACCCACTCAGATGCCACCAGTGCCCTCGCCCTCACAACCTCTCACTAGCAAACCAGTGTCTGCCGTAAAACCCACTGCTGCCCCTCCAGTAGCGGAGCCAGGAGCTGGCACAGGTCTGCGTTCAGAACATCGGGAGAAAATGAATAGGATGCGGCAGCCCATTGCTCAGCATCTAAAGGAGGCTCAGAACACCTGAGCAGTGCTTACCACTTTCAGTGAGATTGACATGAGTAACACCCAGGAGATGAGGGCTCGGCACAAAGATGCTTTTCTGAAGAAACATAACCTCACACTAGGCTTCATGTCGGCATTCGTGAAGGCCTCGGCCTTTGCCTTGAAGCAGCAGCCTGTTGTAAATGCAGCGATTGACGATACAACCGAAGAGGTGGTGTGTAGGGATTATATTGACATCAGCGTTGCGGTGGCCCCCCCCTCGGGTCTGGTGTTTCCCGTCATCAGGAATGTGGAAACTCGGAATTATGCCTCTATTGAGCGAACCATCAGTGAACCGGGAGAGAAGGCCCAGAAGAATGAACTTGCCATTGAAGATATGGATGGTGGTACCTTCACCGTCAGCAACGGAGGCGTTTTGGCTCGCTCTTTGGAACGCCCATCATCAACCCCCCTCAGTCTGCCATCCTGGGCATGCACGCCATCTTTGATAGGCCAGTGGTCGTGGGAGGCAAGTTGGAGATGCAGCCCATAATGTACGTGACCCCGACGTATGATCACCGGCTGATGGATGGCAGAGAGGCCGTGACTTTCCTCCGCAAAATCAAGGCAGCGGTAGAGGATCCCAGAGACCTCCTATTGGACCTGAAGGAGGAAGCCATGTGCCCTACACGTCAACCATGCAGGAACTGAAAACCAGCCTTCTCCCTGTCCCCTCACGGGCCCCGGGTTAGCCTGGTGACAGACAGGCATATGCTGTTGTTCTGAAGCAAGGAAACCAGGGCACTATGTATCCAGCAGTCACAGCTCTCTCCTTGGTGTTCCTGCCAGGCTCTCTCCCTCTCTGCACCCTTCTCTTACATTCGAATATCTGATTTCCTTAGGCTTGAGGGAGAGAGAGAGCCTTAATGGATGCTCATTAATATTCCTGCCTTTCCTCCATTAGCCCTCCGCAGAGATAATTTTGCTTCTCCCCCATCCAGTATACCACAGGGAAACTGCCGGGGACCAAGTGATTAAGTTTCTATCTCTTGGAAGTCTGTTCTCCAGAGACGCCTAGGAGGGTGCTGTGCCTCCCGAGCTCGGAGCAGCCTCTGTCCTGGCTGTGCACGTCCTTACTCGGTTCCACCCGTGTGGAGGTATTGACCAGAGGCCAGGAGGTGCTGCTTTGCTTCTTAAATGGCACCTTCATTCTCAGCTGTCACTGACTGCAAGCTGCCTCTTCTACCTTTTCCAGGAAGCACAGGCTGGGGGATCTGGAGGGGCAGGGGATGGGTAGGCAGTGTTGAGGGGGAGGACAGATTCTGAGGTCAGAGGTTATCAATGAGACTGGAGCAGAGCCCAGGCCTGCCCTCACACTCTCCGTCATAGCTCTGTACCAGGAAGACCCACTTTGGCACAAGCACGCCCAGCTGTTGTGGTGCCAACCTTTCCAGACCACTGGGACCATTCTACCACATTGTTCTCATCTAGAGCAGATTCTAGCACATCTTGGCAGTGAGACAGAGCGTGTCCCAACCAAGGGCTGGATGGCGCCTGGCAGAGATTGGAGTGAAGGAGGCTTCCTGTGGACTGGCTCACATTGTCTTGAGCTTTTAAATTCCATTGGTTTAAGCCTGTGAGCTGAAGAAGCAGTTCTGTTCCTTCCTGTATCATGGCCCTTAGGGGGCAGAGCCTTAGCTCTTCCGCCACAGAACACAGGTCTGGGAGAGGATGGATTGTGGTGGAAACCAGCCCAAGATGCCAGTACACAGTGGGGAAACGGCCGATGTCAACTCTGAGGTACTGCCTTGGGTCTGGGCACAATCATTGGCGTTCTTCGGAGCATGGTTAAATGCACACATCCTGTCATGAAAGCTACTGGGCTTCATCGCTTCGTATCCAACTGCATCCAGTCCTGAGGCTGCTGACACTGACACAGGGAGCCATTTATTTAGTGCAGGATGTCCATATGCATTTTGAGCAAAGAAGCAAGGCTTGGGGGTTGGGGTAGGGGAAAGGGGTGGGAGCCAGTACTGATTGCCTGCAGCATCTCCTATGTCTTCATATTCAGAATTTGTAACTAAAATATTTAAAGAAGCTGATTTTAAATGCAAATTAAAGGGCAAATGTTCCCAAACAGGGTTAAAAAAAAAAAGAATTCTTCTCAAGTCGCTACTGCTCCCCTTGTGGGAAGGGATGAATTAGGAGCTCAGGATCGACATATACACACTACTAGGTAAAAAACAGATAACCAGCAAGGACCTACTGTATAGCAAGGAAACTATACTCAATAGTTCATAATAACCTATAAGGGAAAAGAATCTGAATATATATATATATATTCTATATATAGAATATATTGAATATAAATATGGATATATATATTCTATATATAGAATATATAGACTATAGATATGGATATATATTTTTTCTACATATAGAATATACAGAATATAGATATGGATATATATATTCTATGTATAGAATACATAGAATATATATAGATATATATATTCTATGTCTGGAATACATAGAATATATATATGCATATATATATTCCATGTACAGAATACACAGGATGTATATGGATATATATTCTATATATAGAATATGTAGAATATATATATTCTATGTGTAGAATATATATGGATATATATATTCTATATATGGACTATATAGACTATATGGATCTATATATTCTATGTATAGAATGTATATATGGACATATATATTCTATGTATAGAATATATATGGATATATAGAGAATACATATATTTATATATATATATATATATATATATATCACTTTGTTGTACACCTGACACTAACACATTGTAAATCAACTCTACTCCAAAAAAAAAAAAAAAAAGCCCCCCCATGCACACATACAAATAATAACGCTCCCCCTGGGTAGACCCCCACTAGAAATTCTGGAACCGTGTGGTTACCTGGTGTCAGATATCGCCCAGGTGCTAAGCGATGGGCTGCATGTTTAAACCCCATGGTGTCTAGGGTGCACACCTGTGGTGCAGGCCTAAAACTCCGACTCAGTACTCTCTGCTGCCTTAATATCTGGTAAAAGCGGGAAGACTTAAAATGGCCACTGGCTCGCCTCCCCTTCTGCCCCACACATCGGGTCTCCCACCCGAGCAGCCCTCCTTATCAAGGCACCAGACACAGTGCCTGCTTATGCCCCAGAATTATGCAAACAGGCCTATCACATCCTCCACGCGGACCAGGGGACACCCCACCCTCTTGATTACTACAAAGCCTGCCTCCCACTGCCCCCAATTGTTCACTCTGGTCCCAAGTGACACCCCCCCCCCAGTGCGGCCCTGCATGCATGGGTAGCCTCATCCCTTGGGCTTGGAGAACGTGTGACTAATAAGCCACTGTCCATCTCACCTGTCCAGTGGCAGGTGTTGTGCCATTCCTGTAACCAGAGGGAGAGAATCCCTCCCTCACCAACAAAGTGAATAGGAGGCAATCAAACAACACCAGTAAGCACCATGCAAGCTGCATAACGTGTGTGCTACTCAAGGGGGTGAGAAGAAAAAATGGAGAAGAAATCTCCACTGAAGGACTTGGCCCAGCCTGGCCTGACTTCACTGACGACACCTTCACCACAGGAGGCTCAGAAAGCCACACCCTGTTTCCCCATCAATCTCCCTTTGATAAATGTAACTCCATCTTATTTTATTTCTCTTCTTGGCAGGCTAAAGGAGGACTTTCTGGGAGTGTGGGTTGCATCCGCTTCTCTGTGTCATGAAGAACAAGGAGAATGTGGCTAAAGCTGCAACTCTCTCACCTAAAAGATGCTTTTGTTAAGCACAACACGACTGTGAAATATGCTACTGTACCTCTTCTGTTGCTGTCTCTCCCTCTTCTTCCTTAAGTCCATAAACGGAAATGAAAGAAAAATATAAATTCGCATAAGTTTTTAAGTTGAATCTAAAAATTAAGCAAACTGTATAGCCAATATTTTGTAACACTGTAAATGAAAAGTAACCTTTAAAAATTGTATAAAAATTTAAAAATTAAAACACATAAAAATTTTTTAATTTAAAAAATAAATGAAAATTAAGCAAACTATAATAAAATGCATGTTTATCAAAATGAAAGACATCTATTTATTGAGAAAACATATCAATAGCAAAGATATGATAACTGAGCAATGCCTACGTATTTCATGCATTAGATTTCAATATTATGAAATTAAAGACATATTTTCATCACTCTTACTCCTGAGAAAATATAACTAGTTAGTAATACTGCTTAATTATATGTTTGATCCTGTATCTATATCCAAAGCATATTGCAGACCTATAGAGCTATCAGGGAAAATTCAAACCATATACGTAAGCAATTAGAAAATTTGAACAAAATTATGGCTTTTTGGCTTTTATGTCCTTATAAGCATGCCTTTAATTAAGTTTTGAACCAATTAATAAAAACAGATCAAAACCTTTTTCACCATCAGAACAAAATGATAACATTTCTGAACGATGTAATATTTAAACACGGATTTCTGGTTAAAGAAAGAAACTTTAAAGTAAGAAAGGGTGAGGCCATCCTGGGCTCAAACAGGTCTCCACTCTGCCAACCCACTGGAAATTCTATTTCCCCCTGATCAAAGTGGGAGAACCAGGCGATATCTCCTAAAACTGCAAAGAAATAAGAATCTTCCCATCCCTGAGCTCATGGAATTTTGGACTGAGGGAGTTGAAAGCAATCTCATATTTGCTTCTATCCTCTTACCCAGTCCCTTCTATGGACAGATGAGGACACCGAGACCATAGAGTTAAGTAATTTGCCCAGAATCAGAGCACAAGTAAGTAACATGATCAGGACTCACTTCAAGATTCCTGGTTCCTAATTTAGTCTCTTTCCTACTCTACCATGCTGCCTCTCAAGATTCTCGTGGAAGGCAAGTGGTGGAGAAGCCACCACACTGCCACCTTCTCTGGCCCAGCCTCACGTTTTTGGCCAGTTCCAGAACAATACTCTCAGATTTCTGAGACTGGCAAAGAAAATACAAAATGTGAAAACCTGATCCAGCCAGCCAAGACTGAGTCAGCCCAAGACGTTCCCCAGCACTGGGACTCTCCAAATCAATTCTGGCAACATAGTAAGTTTTAAAGCTAAAATAAAGTCCAGGAAAAGAGAGTCCTTCACTTGTTGCAAAATCCGGGTGTTGGTTTTTCAGCGATGTGTTGATTGCACCTCTTTAATATTGTCTCATTCTGCCCATGCCTTGTCCTTCCTTTGCCAGGACCACCATCTTCTCTCACCAGGGTTACATCACCTCTAGTCTTCCTTATCTCCAACCTGTTCTCCACACAGTAGCCAGAGATACCACTCTAAAAGACAACCCACCTTACCATGCTGCCCTCGCGTTGAAAACTTTCCATCTTTTCAAGATAAATCCATAATCCTTAGAACGGTTGAAAGGCCACCATGATTTGGCCCCTGCTCACCTCTCTAGCCTCATGATTCTTTATTTCAGCTAACAGTCACATACAACTTTCTCACATCAGCGACACCTTCCAGGACACCGCTTAAAGCGATCTTTTCAAGGAAGACTTTCCTGACCCATAAGCCTGAGTTAGGGGACTCCCTTATTTGCTACCATGATCATCATTTATTTATCTGTCTCCCTAACTAGTCTGTGTGCTCCTTGGGGCACAACTCGTGTCTTTATTCATTTTTGGATCTCCGGGACCCAGCCACTGTCTGGAACCAAGGTATAAGCTCAATAAATGTGTTAAGTGACTAGATTAATGAACCTATAAAGTCTCCTATTAACTCTTTAGATCTCAAAGAACATTCATTTTCTTCTTATCCACATGAGATCAAATTAAAATTCACTATATGCAACACAGAATTGTTAGCTATGTAGAGTTTTACACTCCTCTAAATTCAATTATTTTTATTAATTGTGTACAGCTGAAACGAATGAATTAACAAAAAACACACTATTAAAAATGGGATTATCCTTAGAGCTAGGCTGGAGAGCAGTAGGGGTTCTTACAGGAATAAGTGCGAATCTCAACTTTTACAGGTTAGCTAGCAGCAATTACCGAGGGACCTAGGGCTTTATCAGTATCTGAATTGACCTTAATTTCTTGAAAGAGACATTAAATAGAGAAAGTAACTGCTCAGAGAATTTATAGAAATACTTAGCCTCAAAAGGTCAGGTAAGCTTTGAAGAACCTTGGCTATGACCATCACCAGCTCCACCAGAATAGAAGCTCATTTTCAGTCCCTGGACTGCCTCGCATATGGCAGCATTCAGTCTGTCAATAAAATGTTGAATGAAGGTATTTATGTATGCCACTCATGCCTCAAATCTTTCTTAGGAGGAGGTGGGATATATTAATAAAATAAACTTAAACATCCATCCTTAGCTCACAGAATTATAAAGTGTCAGAATTAGGTAGATCCTTAAAAGTCATCTATATACAATGCTTGAATTGATTTTTATGGTTGGCAAATAATTGTATTGGCAAAAGGTTATTTTTAAGATAATCACATGGTCAATTAAGTTGAGATTCTGCAGGATCTTAGGATAGGGTATGAATCATTCACTTGACGAAGCTACAACTTAAAATCATTTTACCTTGTTGTTCTTCTAAGAAAGCTAATCAGAGGAAGCCTTCAAAGTCTTAGAACCTCACCAACAGCTATTTCTGTTGGGAACCTGGCCAGGGAGGCAGGCTGCTGATATGGCACGTGGCCAGGACTAAGGACAGGTGTCAGCCACGGTGAGTGTCAGGCAGTGGCTGGTTAGGACAAGTGGCTGGTGTGGAAGGAGGGCGGGGGCCAGTCCAGAGGGACCTGAGGAGGGCAGCCAGCCTCAGAGCGGCTGAGGGTCAGGGGCAAGAGCAGGGTTCTCTCCATCTGCAGACAGTACAGGGACGCAGCCTTAGGCTCACGAGCTTGTGGAGGACCTAAACCAATGCCCACCCCTTGGTTGAGCAACTATCCTCAAGATAGATTTTGGAGGAAGCAAAGTGGGGAAGATTTATAGACCATAATCATGCAGTCAGTCAAGCCAAGGTCTTAGAAGATTTTGGAGAGGACCACTGAGTTAGCAGAGAATACCATGTAAAATACTTTGACCTCGATGGAAACCAAACACCAAGATGAACAAGCTGCGTCTTCTCCATTTCCAGGGTTTCATAATGTTCTCATGACACCCCCAGTCTGTAGTCCCCTTCTCAGTGTGCCCAGAAGCTGAGGTGGCCTGCTTTCCTCCTTTATTCCTCTGGTACTGTTCACAAGCCTCCCCTCTCCTCCTTATCCCCTCATCCCTCCCTGGGTCAGCAAGGAAGGGGACCATGAAGTCCCCTCTCTACAGGGGGACTGAAGCTACAGGTGACATCGTCTTAGGCAGGAATGAATGATCTTTTCAGTGTGCACCATCTTGCCTCCCAAACGCTGCCCCAACCTGTCAGCAAGTAGGAAATATACACCTCGGCATCTTGTGTGTAAGAACCCCAGAGGCTTGGGTTGGTGGTCAGGGGAAGTCCATCTCGCTAAAGGAGATAACGGTTTCTGTCCTCATCTCTTTTTATCAAATCAACGTGATATTCTTCGGTAAATATTTTCCCCATTAAAATGGCATCCTTTGAACATTTGCAAGTGTGTACTGAGTAAACATGTACAATAGTTGAGATCAGATGAACACAACTCAGACACTCACTTAGCTGGTCTGTCACTCGTTTTAACACCGCCAGCTGCTGGAGGGAGCTGTTACCACTGCACACTTGAAAATGGTTCTTAACACACAGAGGAATGACTTTTAACATACAAATGAAAGGTTTGAAAAAAATGGCCAACCCTGAATAAGCTCTGCAAGTCTACTTAACAGAGATGCACCAATGTCATACTCCTGGTTTCCGTCTCCTACTGCAGCCATCGGAGATGTCATCATTAGCGGAAGCCCGGCAAAGGGCACACAGGACTCTGTACTATGTCCCTGTGAGTCTGTAATCATTTCAGAATAAGAGGTTAAAATACATTTGTGTTCCTTGTCATGAATAGTATGGCTGTATATACCAGAATAAGAATTCTCATTTTGCTCTCCCTACTACCCAAAATTAGAGGGAGGGAATAGAGTTACTGTCATTCCCCACACTCCAAGAAGACAGCCACATACTTGTTCTGGTTCTCCACCTCTAGGGAAGAAGCTATAAGCCTTGCTTATCAAAATCCTGGGCTGAAAGAGGTGAGGAAGCTAGATAATCCCTGGAAAAATGAGCTTGGAGCTTAGGGCTTGGAGCTGAGGAGATGAAGCAGATTAAAGAGAGAAGGGGGCAGAAGGAGGTGGGTGTTCCAGGAGGTGCTACCCAGGCCCTGCTTGATGTAGACGCTGAACCAGGGACCACTGGGGCATCTGGGTAGCACCTGGGCATGATGTACGAGGAAGCATACGACTGGTCACTGTGAGAGGCATGGCCACTTCCAGCCAGGGCAGAGGGCCTGAACCAAGCTGAGGGACCAGCGTCAACAGCTGCCAATAGGCAGCAGGAAACCCATGTCAGAAAGTCACCACTGCAAAGAACCAGGGCCCTCTCCCCTCCAGTCACCACTGAAGACCCCATGATGACTCTAAGTCCCCAAGAAGGAGTGAGTCTCCAAAACGCTTCACCCAGATTGAATCTCCTGCCAGCCAGGAGGTGGGGGCATAAAGCAGATATTACGGTGTCTAGAGAAATTAGTGGCGCTGACGGTCCACGGCCAGAAGTGTTATGAACAAAATCTGAACCCGCAAAGATTATGTTATTTATATCCCTCACAGAATGTTGGTTAGAGAAGGAAGCACAGGGAGCTGCTGTTTAGATACAATGGGCTGGAGGAGCAAAAGGTACAAATCCATGAGATTTCCCCAAGATGGTTTCAACAGAGCCAGAGATTTTATCTAAAAGCCTTGGATTTATCTAAGAAGAATCTACTGGATGTGACTGGTACTTTAAAAATTTGCATTAACAATTTATTGGGTTGGCCAGAAAGTTCGTCCGGCTTTTTCCCATAACATCTGAGGGAAAAACCCAAAGGAACCTTTTGGCCAACCTAGTACAATAGCCAACACATGGAAACAACCTAAATGTCCATCTGCAGATGAATGGATAAAGACGATGTGGTACATATATACAATGGAATACTACTCGGTCATAAAGAAGAATGAAATAATGCCATTTGCAGCAACACGGATGGACCTAGGGACTACCATACTAAGGGAAGTAAGTCAGAAAGAGAAAGACAAATACCATATGATATCACTCATACGTGGAATTTAAAATACAACACAAACGAACTTATCTACAATCAAAAACAGACTCACAAGTATAGAGAACAGACTTGTGGTTGCCAAAGGGAAGGGGTGGTGGAGGAGGGAAGGATTGGGAATGTGGAGTTAGCACAGCCAACTATTATACAGAGAATGGATGAACAAGAAGGTCCTACTATACAGCATAGGAAACTATGTTCAATATCCTGTGATAAACCATAACGGAAAAGAATATGAAAAAGGATATATATATATAATATGTATAACTGAATCACTGTTAAACACAACATTGTGAATCAACTATACTTCAATAAAATTTTAAAAATAAAATAAAATAAAAAATCATGTTAAAGAGGTAAAACACATGATCTAATTGGCCTTTCTGATCATCACAAATAAGTCCATGTAAGCCTGGGTGCACAGCCGGGAAAGATGTGATGTCAAATAGCCAAGACGGCCTTCCCGTCTTAACCTTGAAAAACAACCCCAAAACCAGAAAAAGACAGAAGGCTCTTGAAGCACAAAATGCAAGCATCCCAAATATCAGATAGTTTTTGTCTCTTTCTTAAACGTCAATCGAGTTTCCTATATATTCAGTCCCAAAGCTAATCATGTTATGTCATTTTTAATGTTCGCTGACCAATCATAGTTTTTTCCTTATTTAACTGAATTACAGCAAGTCAAAGAGCACGTACCACTTGTCAAACGGGAAAAAGTCAAAATCTCTCTTTATGTAGAATAAATATTATTAAAGAGTTGATCATTAATGTCAATACTATATTCATCTAAAATAAAAATGTCTTCTATGTAGTCATTTCTTCATCACAGCCCAAGCAAAAATAACACAGCGATGTTTTTAATTCCTATTAGGATTCACAAGACTATAATTAACTTTGTAAAGGGCTCACAATTTTTTAAAATATTAGCAAAGAGAATCCCCAAGCTGGATGGCTTATCACTTCATTGAACTAACCAGCCCAGAGGCTGAGAAGCTGAAGCCAACCCTGCCCTTGCTGTAGAAGTCAGGGTCTGATTTTAAAAATGCTGTCTTCCTCTTGGTCTCGTGGGAGAAAGGGATTGGGGTGTAATGTTTTTACCTTTGTCTCTCTGTCTTAAAAGGAGCAAACTGAATTTCAACATGTAAATCAATAATGCTGTACCAGTGCATTAGGCAATCCATGGAAAGTTCAAATTATAAAATGTTTTTAAAGATGTTTATAAATTACAGGATAATTAAATTGTCACTCTATTTCACCTTAAATTGATTGTTTCTGAATTATACAGGCTGCCATGAAAGCCCACCTAACTTCCAGATCAAGACAGAAGATTTCATCTTTCTTCAAAACAGAAACGTCAAAGGGTCTTAAATCATCAACATTTTAAAATAGCAGTATTCAAACATAAGGGAATTTACTGCCTTGGTTCCTCCCAAATTTAAATTCCTTATGATAAAGACAAACTGATACCACCCCCATTCTCCGCAACGTGGTTGTCAGTCTTGGCCCCTTTCCTAGTCACATTCCATCTGCTGGGAACAAGAATCCAGTGACCTTAAAAGCTGTCCACATCTCTCCTGGAATCAATAAATAGGTACAAATGCAAACCATCGGGGTTTGGTAAATGGTCTTTGCTACAATTGGCCCAAGGCAGAAGCCCACTGAAATTCTCCCAAGAGGAGGCTCAGCCCATTCAAGCTCCCTCGGTGGCTCCAGGGTTTCCCCTTTGCCTGGCTTCCCAACCACATTTTCAGAATTCCTTGAATAAATAGCCCATCTGATCCACCATTATCTTAGCTTGGTGCTTCCAGAGCCACAGTCTCCCCTCGGCCCTTTACCCTGCGGCCCCTGCATTGGAACGCTTTAGAATTAGCTCACGGGCCTTGCGTCAGCGGGGCCCTGAGAGTCCCCTGATTGGCTTTGAATTGGTGTCAGTTTCCCTCCCCCAGGGACCCTATTATCCTCAGCTCCCATTGCCTTCCCACAAATCCTCTTGGTGGAGTATGCCAACTACAAACTGGCACTTGCCATCTGCCTCTACAAGGATTAAATCATGAGCTGTTGCAGTTGCTGACCTTCAACACCCCTTGAAAGGAGTTCAGGGTGGAGATCAGGAATGAGGCCCTCTGTGATCTGGGAAAAACTGGCAGAACAGGTCTTCAGATAGTTAGATGCTTTCAGGAGAAGATTTTATGAGCCCAATTCTTGCATCTCCTCGTATCTAGAAGAGCGCTAAAATCCTTCATGGTGACGTCTGCTCCTCGTGACTAGAAGTAACCTTCCCGAGACGAGCAGAACCTTCTGCAAAAAATATGCTCTTGATTGCATGGACTCCCTTTATCAAAATCACATATGTACTGACGTTTCCCGCTACCTCTTAGGAGCAGTTTCTCAGAGCTATCTGAGATGCTATCTCCCGGGCTATAGTCCACATTCTGCCCCAAACAAAACTTAACTCACAACGTTCACGTTGTACATTTTTTTTAAGTCGACAAGTGTGATAGGAGTCCATCACTACGCATGACCGAGGCATAAGGTCCCTTGCTTTAGAAATAACATGAACCCAACCTAACCGTAACAACACAATGACAAATCATTAAAGTCTTGCGTAGCCTGTCACTCCAGGCCTGGGTTCAGGGTCCTTCCTCTGGCTTCCTTTCAGCCCTCTACTCACCTTGAACACAGCAGTTAACACATTAAGTGAAAATTACCTGCTGCCTCCTGGCTAAACCCTCAGTTCCTTACTTTCACGCCCACTCTCGTGTGCCCAGAAAGATTCCTGGCACCTGGCAGAGCTAAATAAATGCTTGTTGAACAGAACTGAATCCAGTGAAACTACAGTGAAAACAGCAAACACTCACATTCTTCTCTGGGGATCCGGTGAGGTTGCCCGCATCTTCACTGCCTTCTTTTTGTGCCTCGTGTTGTCCACTTTCTTCAGCCTTCTCTGTTCCCTAGTCATAAAGGAAACCCATGTTATCACTAACCTTGGGTAAGCTTCTAAGGCGACACCAGACCACACGTGCTGTGGTTTCCTTATTTAGATACACAATACATAAACAAAGCAAACGTGGACGTCTGTGTATTAGTCACTTAACCCCTAGAGTATGGGATCACCAACCCTCGACATTGCTGATTGGATCTGTCCATGTAAGTCCATAGACCTGACTCATGCACATGGTAGAGTAATAAAGACCCTAATAGGAGTTAATTCACCCATTTAAGTCTTGTGAAGAGAACTCCAAAGGATTCCATATTTAGGGAATATTTATTTTCTATTGCTTGTGTGGAAAGAAGCTTTATAATTTTAGAGATTAAAAAAGAAAGATAGATGATAGATAGATAGATAGATGAGGTAGACAGATAGACAAACAGATATGAAAAGATCAGAACCTAGTAGACGTTCTGAGTAAACGGGTCTCCAGGAGATGGTTCCAGATACCAGCTCTTACCTCTGTGTTGCTCTGTGCTTCTCCTGCCACATCACCATTGGGAAGGGAAGATGCTTCCTCGGACGATTTTGTCACCTGCATCATAGAAATTGAGAATGTCTGAGAATTTTCTCAAGGATAAATAGCTTGCATTTCAATACAATTTAACTATCCAAATTATGTTTGTCTTCATCCTTCATTTTATCTTCACTACAACACTGTAACCTAATTCCATAGGGCAGTCACCACCACTCACACCTTAGAGGCAAGAAAATAAAGGCAAAAAATGTCACATTGCAAGTTAGGGGCAGGGCTAGGATACACCTTCTACTTTATGTTCTCTTGACTTAACCAGTGGTTCCCAGTCTCTTAAAATATTAGGTTAGTTTTCTCATCAGAAGGAAAAAAATTGTAACTATGTGACGTGATGGATGTTAACTTATTGTGGAGATCATTTCACACCACCTACATATATTAAATCATTATGTTGTACCCCTTAAACTGATACAATGTTATATTTCAATTATATCAGTAAAAATGGGGTGGGGGTAGGATTCGGTGATTTTTATTACAAAGGCACTTCAAGCTCGCGGGAAATAATTAAGTCATATACACAATTTCCAGTTCCAAGCTTCTATGATACTCAATATTAAAAATTTTATATGTACCTAACTCTACCTTAATACATACATAGAGGCTATTTTTGTTTCATTTTTGTGTTTTTTTTAAACAGATATGGGAACATACTATGCACAATTTGATTTTTTAGCTTAGTACATCGTGTACAGTTGTCCAGATTAATTCATATGGTTGTAACTCACTGTTATTAACATCTGCTTAATATTAAATATATAACAACTTATTCAAATATTTCCCACTTGATGGTTTTTCAGAAAGTTCACACATTTGTGCCTGTACAAACAATGTTATATTAAAATGAATAAAATGGTGGGGAGGATTAGATTTCTTTCTAAAAAAGAAATTGTAGAAATTTACATTCCCATCGTAACATGTGCCTGGCCCCTTTTCCTTTATCTCTATGAGCAATGAAGATGATTGCCCTTTTTAATCTTTGCCAACCTGTTGGGAGAAGATGGAATTTCATTTTTGTTTGTTTGTTTTGTTTTGTTTGTGGTACGCGGGCCTCTCACTGTTGTGGCCTCTCCTGTTGCGGAGCACAGGCTCCGGACGCGCAGGCTCAGCGGCCATGGCTCATGGGCCCAGCCGCTCCGCGGCATGTGGGATCTTCCCAGACCGGGGCACGAAGCCGCGTCCCCTGCATCGGCAGGTGGACTCTCAACCACTGTGCCACCAGGGAAGCCCTCATTTTTGTTTTAATTTACGTTTTCCTCATTACTGGAAAGGAAAGGCATATTTTTTATGAGTTTTAGCCACTTACAATTGCTATTCAGATAAATGCCTTCATATGTTTTGCCCATTTTTACGAGTTGTGTTTTATTATCAATTTTTAGAGGTTCTTTATACAATAGAAATATTAGCCCTTTGTCAGGTTGCAAGGGTTTTTTTCCAGTCTATAACTTTTTGCAAATTTTGTTGGGTTTTTTGTTTTGTTTTGTCGCCCTTTATATACACAAATTTATCTAAGTTTTATTCTCTGAAATGTATTTCTATTATTTTGTATTAATTATTAACATCTAGAGACTTAACCCACCTAGAATCTAATTTTGTATATGCTATAAAGTAGGGCTCTGTTTTCTTCCAGATAGATAACAAATTATGCCCGTACCATTATTTTTCCCTTTAATTGAGATGTTATTTTTGTCATTTATAAAGTTCTATGTATGCATTTGGATCTGTTAACACACTAGTCTATATATAAATATATAAACATATCCATGGATGTATTTATCAGTTCCCATGCCAATATACAGCTTTTATCACTGTAGATTTTAACATAAATTTCAATATTCAGAAAGGCAAGACTTTGCTACACAAAGTCTCCTTTTTCAAAATTTTCTTGGCTCTTCTCAGACATGTATTATTCCAATTCATTTTAAGATCATTTTTCCTAGTGTCAAAAATATTAAATAGGCTTTTCATTGAAATAGCACTAAATATATTTATTAGTTTAGGAATTATCACTTCTTATTGTTAGGTCATCCTACTCAGAGCATCATAGGTCTCTCCATTACTTTAATATTTGTTGGTGTCTTTCAGATAAATTTATTCCTAAACATTTTAGAGATTTTTATCACCATTGTGAGTGAGATATGTTTTTTACATTTTAACTTCCTATCCATTATAGTTGTTATAAATAAAAGCTACTAATTTTTGCATTTTTTTAATCCAGAAACTTAATAAACTATAATAATAATTCTAATGGATTTTATTGGAGTTTGTTGAGATTTCTAGGCATACAATTACATCATACACAAATAAAGATAATTTTTATATTTCATATATGCTACATATATATGAGATATTTCATTTTCTTACTTTTTTATAATAACTACAGCTTCTAAAACAATGTTTAATAATATGGTGATGACAGGCATGCCTATCTTTCTTCTGATTTTAATGTTTCAGTATTTCATGGTTCATTAGGATACAGTTTTCTTTTGATAATTGGTTTTTATAATATTTACTCAGTTTCCTTCTACTTATATTTTAATCCATGTTTATTTTAACTAGGAATGTCTGATGAATTATATCAAATATCTTCTTGGTATTTATGGACACAATCTTACAGTTTTTCTCCATCAATAAGTTCATGTAATGAACTACTTTGATAGAAAAAATTCTGCTCTAATTTGGTGTATTACCTTTAATTCATTGCTGGATACAGTTTGCTAATATATTATTTAGACTTCCCATCTGAATTCATAACAGAAATTGATCTAGGTATAACTGAAAGTTTTCTAAGTAATATATCAACTGGTCAGGGATTTCATCTATTTCATTTGTCTGTTCAAGTTATATATAGTCAAATTACATATAAATGTATTCAAGTTGTATATATTCAAATTATATATAAATTGTATTCATATATGCACACACAGAGGCACACAGACACACACTTTCTCTTTTGTATTAAATTAATCTTGGTTTTTCTTTTTATTGATTCACTGCCTACTCTTTTTTTTCTATTTTCCTAATTTTATAAGTTGAATATTTATTTTACTAAGTTTTTACCTTTCTGCTTTAATTATAAGAATATTTAAAGTTAACAATTTTCCTCTGTATAGAGATTTGGCTGTATATTGGGGTTTGTGTATGAAATAATAACTTTTGCTTATTATTTGATGACTTGTAATATCAGTTTTGTTTTCCCTTGGATATGGAGTTATTTGAAATGGCATATATTTATTTCTTAAGTTTTTATGATATTTCTCTTCCAGATTGTAATTCTATACTTGGGATAAAAATGTATCCTATAAAATCATCCCTTTTTGAAATTTATGAAAGTTTCCTTTGTGACCAAGAACGTAATAGATTTGGAAATTGTTTAATAAGTGTAAGAGAAGAATACATTCTATTAATATCTGTCTAATATATTCTTATTCTTGTGTGTATACATATATCTATACATGTCTATTAAATTGTTTGCTGTCACAGAAGACCCCAAGTAACCAAAATAATCTTAAGAAGGAAAGACAAAACTGGAAGTATTATGCTCCCTAGTTTCAAACTATACTACAAAGCTACAAAATCAAAACTGTATGGTACTGGCACAAAAACAGACATACAGATTGATAGAACAGAATAGGGACACTGAAAATAAACCCACACATTTAGGGTCACTTAACCTATGACAAAGGAGGCAAGAATACACAATAAGGAAAAAAAAAGTGTCTTCAATAAATGGTGTTGGGAAAACTGGAAAGCTACATGGAAAAGAATCAAACTGGACTACTTTCTCATACCATATACAAAAATAAACTCAGGGCTTCCCTGGTGGTGCAGTGGTTGAGAGTCCGCCTGCCGATGCAGGGGACACAGGTTCGTGCCTCGGTCCAGGAAGATCCCGCATGCCGTGGAGCAGCTAGGCCCGTGAGCCATGGCTGCTGAGCCTGCGCGTCTGGAGCCTGTGCTCCACAACAGGAGAGGCCACAACAGTGAGAGGTCAGCGTACCGCAAAAAATAAATAAATAAATAAAATAAATAAACTCAAAATAGATTAAAGACTTAAATGTAAGACCTGAAACCATAAAACTTCTAGAAGAAAACATAAGCAGTATGCTCTTTGACATCAGTCTTAGCAATATTTTTTTGGATCTGTCTCCTCAGACAAGGGAAACAAAAGTAAAAATAAATAAACTGAACTACATCAAACTAAAAGACTTTTGCACAGCAAAGGAAACTATCAACAAAACAAAAAGGCTGCCTACCGAATTAAAGAAGATATTGCAAATACTACATCTGATAAGGGATTAATATCCAAATATACAAAGAACTCATATAGGGAATTCAGTGGTTAGGACTGCACTCTTCCACTGCAGGGAGCATGGGTTTGATCCCTGGTCGGGGTACTATTGATAAGATCCCACAACCCACATGGCACGGCCAAAAAATAAAAATTAAAAAACCCATGGGCTTCCCTGGTGGCTCAGTGGTTAAGAATCCGCCTGCCAATGCAAGGGACATGGGTTCGAGCCCTGGTCTGGGAAGATCCCACATGCCGCAGAGCAATGAAGCCCGTGTGTCACAACTACTGAGCCCATATGCCACAACTACTGAAGCCCACACACCTAGAGCCTGTGCTCCACAACAAGAGAACACCACAATGAGAAGCCCACACACCACAATGAAGAGTAGCCCCCGCTTGACACAACCAGGGAAAAGCTCAGGTGCAGCAACGAAGACCCAACACAGCCAAAAATAAAATAAATAAAATAAAATAAATTCATTTCTTTAAAAAGTTAAAAAAAAATAAAACTCATATAACTCAACATAAAAAAATGTTAAATGGGCAGAGGACCTGAATAGACATTTTTCCAAAGAAGACATACAGATGGGCAACAGGCACATAAAAAGATGTTCAACATCACTAATCATCATGGAAATGAAAATCAAAACCACAATGAGATATCACCTCTTACCTGTCAGAATGGCTATTATCAAAAAGACAACAAATA